GCAGTCAGAGCAGCAGTGCTGCATGAACTTATGAATTCAGAGCAGTCTGTGGGCCTGTGACCAGCAGTTCCATATTTACATTAGAAATAACATCCTTAAATTTACTTTTCAACGACAGTGTGCACTTAGGAATTTTCATATAGCAGCAGCAGTTGTCTCCCATGAAAAGAAAAAAAAAGGGGGGGGGGAGAGAAAGAATTTATTTAACCCCCCCCCCAATATAAGAATTATATCTTGAATATCACATGCTTAGATTTAATCAAAGAATACCAGATATACCTGTGAACAGGCTTTAATCATGCCACCTTTTCCTATTGTGCTACCCATCTCAAAAATTGCTATAGTCAAGTACGCATCAGGCTGGAACTGCCTAAAGTCTTAAAAAACATGAGATGAGAGATAACAGCCTCAAAACTCATAGGGTTTTAGCCACCATCTAAACCTGGTTTCTTACAAACACATGCCCAAAATGTCCTTCCTCTCAGGCCACCTGAAGAAAGGACCTTCATTCAAGGTCCAATGTAAAGTTAAAGACTGGCCTCTAAGGAGTGCTAATGGGCCAGACTGTCTAAAGCAAGTGTCAGTGCTAGGCACTGACTGGTAAATGAGAGCAATGTTAAAGTTCCTAATCAAAAATCTCTGTGACTATTACAGGCTGTCTGGATGCTACAGCCACACTCCAACTAGACCGTGGGTGCTCTAAGTACTTAGGGACTGTCCAAGAGCATTATTTTAGACCTCCAGGAAGCAGTGAAATTCAAAGGTGAGTTTTATATCAGCTTTAATAGTTCACCTGATATGTGTTCTGCAGCAGTAACACCAATGTTGGGATCTGGTTTCATACCCGATACTTGTTCACATAAAAGAAAACTTACAGTATCACCCAGCCATATCACTGAACATGCGTATAAACTACTGGGGCATTGGTGGAAAAATGTAGGGAGCCATAAGAATAATTTGCTGAGAGGCTAAACTGCTTAAGTTGCGTAGCCTATTCAAGGGGATGTACCTGAGGCCAGTTTAGCACTAACGCGATACTATGTCTCAAGTACACCAAGGCACAGAAGTTGTCACTTTGAGATACAAGATAGCATATCCCCACATTGTATCAAATACCAAACAGAGGTATTCCTCATCATAAAGCTAGGTCCAGAACGACTGCTATTTAAAATTGTGCCTACTTCTTAGGGAAGAAGACAGCAGGTGACTTTAAGATCCACTTCTTGATTCGCTGAGTTGTGTTACTAAAAAAAAAAAAGGCATGCTTCTCAAATCCATTTCCCTGCAAGTATCAAAACCACACAGAAGTCCAAAGCCTGAGTAACATAATGTCTGATACAATAAAAAGACAGAACTGTATTAATAGGTTCATCTATCGCTGATGAACTGTAATCTCATACTAACATTTCAAATGAGAATACTGGCACCTTTTTCACATGCCCTTTCTACCCTGATTTTGAACACTCTCTGTAAAGAAACAAATACACAAACACATGAAAAGAAAAACAATGAGGTTAACAAATTATGATCCTTTCTAAAAAGAGACAACTGGCTTCAAGTTTTCAATCAGCTTTTTTTTAGAAAGACAATTAAAAAAAAATAGCAGTAACAGGCAATCTGCCACTCTGCTATTTCAAGACCTGCTTCAACAGGAATAAGCTGAAACACTAATGTGTCTAATTTAGAAATAATATATGTGTCCATGGTGAAAGAACTTTAGGTCCCAAAATACAAGAATGATTCTATGTTTCTGAGTTATACAGCTCTGCTTCCACTAGTTGGAAGCATCCTTAAGGATGCTTTGCCATCCATCGCATATACAGGTACAAAACACTATTAAGCAACCAAGTGATTTGATTTCCATTGTGGTATCTGCCAAGAATAGCCACATGTTGCTAATGCTCTTCTGCACTGTAGTGATTAGGCTGCTGGTGTAAATAAAAATACAAAGCTTCAACACCAAGAATCCTCAAAATTCAGCGCTGAAAATGTATCTGGAGTATACGATGACTATTTCCTACAATGTCAACATTTTCAGCAAAACTTCACTGATAAGGTTTAATTTTGATTTTCTGCTTTTATGTATTTAACAGTTTCTAATAACTAGGCCATTCTTCTGATAGTGAAAAGAAAAAACTTCTTTTTATTAGAGTAATTCTTGATGCAAGGCTACGTTCTAAAAAATGCTTCTATGAATACATAAGTGAGAACCAACAGAATGAGAGAATAGTAAGAAGAGTATTGAGTATTAGTGCAAGACACAAAGGTTAGTTTTTCCAAGATGAACTACATTATTGCTGGGAAAATCGTGGAACAATATAGCAACAAAAAGAAAGGCTAGTACTTATTGTATTCATTGAAGATGTTTTTACTAAAAAAGTACTTTAATTAACTATTTCTGACAATATCATTGGGCATTACCTGATTTTACTGTTACCTAGGTTTCTTCCCCAAAAAACTTAACTTCAACCTGCAAAAACTTAAACCTTAATACATTAGAGTTCTTGGAATAGAATACTTGTTTAAAAATTCATAAGGATCAAGTTTTAGAAGATTTTTATTTAGTCTTAGCAATTTATTCTGTGGCCTAGCCCTAAAGAGGTAGATTTATTACTAAACTTATGTATACAAGACAGGCTGAGAACGCTGGGGCTCTTCAGCCGGCAGAAGAGAAGCTGCGTGGAGACCTACCTCATAGCAGCCTTCCACTACCTAAAGGGGGTCTATAAGGACGGAAGAGGGACTCTTCATCAGGGACTGCAGTGATAGTACAAGGGGAAATGGGCTTAAATTTAAATAGGAGAAGTTCAGGTTACTTACAAGGAAGAAGTTCTTTAGTGTGAGGAAGGTGAGGCACTGGAACAGGTTGCCCAAGGAAGTTGTGAATGATCCATCCCTGGATGTGTTCAAGGCCAGGCTGGACAGAGCCTTGGGCAATACGGTCTATGGTGAGGTGTCCCAGCCCATGTCAGGGGGGCTGGAACTAGATGATTTTAAGGTCCCTTCCAACCCAAACCATTCTATGATGCTATGAGAGGTAGCAATAACAACTATTTTCTTAATAAGAACAACAGTCTTTTAACCAGACTGATTTTTCCTGCATCTTCATTTTTTTTATAAAGATTCTTATGGTGAGATATTTACATTTTAAATTCAGTGTAAAATATAGGCACACCCAAATCTCAGCTTTATAACACCACTGGCACATAATTAAAGACATAAACCAAGACAAGAATCAGAAAGCCGGTAATATTTTATCAGTGGAAGTCATTACTCTATGTAATTCTTTTAAGGCCTTGAAATGCACAAATTTCCAGCAGATACACACAGCCCCAAACAAATGTCCCTAGTTGTTACGTAGATAAATGGGCTTCATAGCCAACAAACATGCTGGTTTGGACCAAGCTGTGAGAGGAATGAAATCACAGACTCAAAGGGCCCTTAGAGAAATTGTGTTGCTTTTACACACCAGTGACCCTCCACGACTGCTATTTCAGCTGATCACAACTCAGAACTGACACAGAAGAGGCATAACCCTTTAAGTTTAAAGGTCCATCACACATAGTACTTTGTCCTCCAACACAATAAATCCCACTTTATCCATTTATACACTTGTCTGCATGAACAAACATATGTGTCCACATATATACTTCCAATGCAAACCAGAGTAATAATGTCTATTCAAGAATTCCTGTTTAGCTTTAACAGGATCTTGATTTAACCTATAGTTGGACCATGCAGGCTATAGATGCAATGGATTCATCAGCAAAAGGGTAATTTACACTAGCCATTTGTAGAAATAAGGCACTGATATAACGGTTGTATAAGTGCTTGCACGTTTTCATTAATCTCTCTGGCGGTTGGGGTGTGTACAGAAAGTGGTACCAGTGTATAACTATCATTTTTATCTACAGCATTTGGGATGATAACAAAAAGAAGTATGCATGCATGTTTTTCTGTTACGGCAGATACACAGCCAACAGGAGGATAGGGGATAACCAGGTTTTTAAAAAAAGACAAAAAAAATCTGCATGCTATTGATTCTCCCACACTTATAACCGACTGCTACGTCTTCTACCACAAATATTCTCTTTGATGTTACAAAGAAAGATGAGCTGCAAAGGCTGCAAGAATTCTTATGCCCATTACTGTCTTAATTATAAACTTGTCTGACTATAAACAAATGAAAAATAGATTGTTTGTATGCCCTGGACAAATTCCTAAGGCTATAAAGTGAGCACTCCATTATTTAAGAAGCATTTCGTATTGCCATGAATGTAAATGCCTGTAATACTAAGAACTGTACCAAATACACATTTAGGCAACAAGGTCTTTGGCATGAATATTAGCTGTATATAAAACCTGAAAAGAAACAGGAGAGAAATATTTCATGTATATGAGAAAGTACCAATATCCCTCAGAAAATGCTGTTTACATGCAATGCTATGACTACAGACACAGAGAAGGTACCCTGATGACACCCCAGCCACCTGTACTAAATTGATACAGCAATCAGAAAATAAAATGGAAAAAATTAATTCACTAAATGGAAGATAACAGGTACCACTACTGAATACAAAACAAAACAACCAAGAACAAGGCAATGACATTAACTATGCATAGCACAAATATTTCAGCTATTTCTCAGGAGATAAGTAAGACAAAAGCGATTGTACTAGTCAGCAATTTATACTTTCAACTTATTTTTCATAATTAAACATTTCTGTATGTTGACATATATTATCAAAAGAATAAAGAAAACATAACATATGCTTCCATTTTTGAATTTTGAAATATTGCTTTGTCTGTATATATATATTTATTGTTGTTTCTGTTTTCATTATTTGAACAAATGTTGCATAGAGATTTTCTTATATGGTATTGCTCTTATAGACATTACAGCATAGAGGTCAATGCACAAACAGTATCTTTTATACCTTTAAGCTTCATGTCAACTCCTACTTTACAACTAAGCTGTTTGTTCCTGTTTTTAATCTTACCCCAAGTTTCAGAAGAAACTTCTAGGAGTCCTGCAGACAGCATGATAGAAAACCTGTTCGTCTCCTTTCATTCTGTGCTTTGAACGATGGTTCAGATGAGGAAGAGCTTTTTCAGTGTCAAATTCTAATTCTTCTCTTGTAACTTTCACACTCCTTAACAGGGAGACTACATCCAGGCTGATTGATACACTGAAAAAAAAAATAAAAAAAACAAAACAAAAAACAACTTTCAGCATGCAGAAACATGCAAATATGCATCAACTGAAGCAGCAAATGTCTGTGAGGGCTTTCTTTTTTTCTGCTTTTGTAACTCTTGGACAGGATCATCAATACTAGCTGTAAAAGAAAGGATGCCTAAACAACTGCATTTAGATCTCAAACATACAAAGAGGTATGTACTGAAGTGCAAGTCAAAACAAAAAAAAAAAAAAAAAAAAATTGAAGTTTTACAGAAACATCCATTTCTAAAAATCAGGTCCTATGTCAAAGTGTAGGCAGGGAAGAACAAGAGATTTTTAGTGCGTACATTTTAACTTCAAAAGGGCAGCAATTCTCAAACAATTCCCAATACAATGATTTTACTCTTTCTGCGTCCTTTTCATCAACACACCACTAGATACTTCTCTATCTTTAATCCATTAGATTCATGATTGCAGTGCACAGAACAACATTCCTTGTCAGGAGACTGTACTGTACCACAAGGAAAAAGCAACAGATCGAGCAGTGTGCACATATATAGCCAACTGCTTTCTATACAGTGAGACAAACTGTAAAATAAAAGAAGTTATCTGCATTGTAAAGCAGGAGAGCAGCATTGTTTTGAACTGTACGCTGCATGCATTTCAGCGACATGAAAAGGACAGACACCTGCTTTTTGACTTACAAGTCACGTAGTCTGTAAAATAACAGAGTAAACCTGATCTGATGAATTGTCCAGTATAGGAGCAACATTGATGGTTTCTCAAACATCTGGCAGATTATTTATTAGAAAGGTTTTCTAGTACAAAATTTCATAGACAGTGGCAGCACCTCACTTTGCAACTGCATAGCCTGTAAATTTACACTGGAGGTTTCCTAACGGCACGCTGCAACGTTCAGGAAGCTAGAGGTGGAATCAACATCGCAAACTTACATCCAAGTTAAAACTAATTAATGGCTGAAGAATTAGCATGGTTTCAACTATAGAAGGCCTCCCCCCCAAAGCTCATCACCTCTCAGTAAAAATCCGTTCTGCAAGAGAAGGGCGAAGTCTGGTGTGCTGCGAAAGCCTCATCCCTATCTGCAGGGTATACATGGAAACTAGGCATCTCAGATGATTCAAATCTTCCAGAGACAGGAATTCTTGTTGCCCTGCTCACACTGATGCTTCTGGACAGCTCGAAGACCCCTGAGCACTATTTGAGTATCTTAACAATTTACTCTTTAGTGATTATTACAGTGCAAGGTTTACCTTTAAAAATGCTTGTTCCAGACAGGTTAAATACGTGAATAAAACCCCACATATATTTAATAAAATTGAGTGCAATCTTATATGTAATAAGATTTAGTATATTACATTAAATTTAGCTGCACCTATGAAGAATGCACAAACACAGCATTTCCTATAGCAACATATATGCTGCTGTACTCCACAAGCATATCTAATTTCAATCCATACGTCTAAATACATGTCTTGAAGCATTAATATATACTTTAATTACTGTGCCAAGCAGATGAGCACACAATAGCAGCTATCATTTTGGAACGTTATAGACACGGTTCACTATTTGAAAAAACCTCTGTTACATGAACATTCCCTTTACAAAAGCAACAGACTCTTGATCTTATCAATGTTGTTTGATTTTAAAATCAAATCACAAACTTCATGATACTCAGCACTGTTCTTAAAGCCTTGGCTCCTGCAATTATACAATTACATGACACTTAAAATTTTTTAAGACTAAGTATATCTCTAACCTTCATGCTCCATGCTTAAAATGTCTATCTCAGCAGCTGAAAAGAATACTCAGCAAAATAAAAGAAATTCTGCGTTGTTTTAACATCTTATAGCATTTCAACTATTAGCTTGAATCCAAGCTAATATTTTTCTAAATTAATACTTGAAATTAGTAATGCCACACTATTAACCCAGGAATCTGCTGTGAAGGCCAATGCTAGGCTAGCCAACAGTATCAGCTCCTGGCACTGCTTCTAGCTGGTAGTCAGCAAAATATCCATACACCTTAGATCAGCTTGGAGGGAGCAGTACGTCTCACAACCAGCCACCAAGCTGGTCTTGGCTGCAACTATCAAGTGGACTTGCCTGTGACAGGCCCAGAAACATCCAGATAAGCCTCCTGTGTCACACATCAGGTTGCTCAGCACTATTGCAATGTAGATAGGTTAAGGAGGAGAACCCCTAAGATGGTCAGGGGGGAGGAGCATTAGTCCTCAGAGAAGAGAATGAGGGAACTGAGCTTGCTCAGCCTGGAGAAGACTGTGGTGAGTCCTGGAGGCTTTCATGACCCAACCAGATGAAACCCTGAGCAACCTGGTCCGACCTCACAGCTGACCGTGCTTTGAGCAGGCGCTTGGAGTAGAGACCTCCTGAGGTCTCTTCCAACCTGAAGAATGATTCCATGATCGTTCTTTGCTGTTGATCTTTGCTGCCTAACTGGCTTGTTTTCTGGAGTTACTCTCTTCTCACAAGGTTTTATTTGCTCTGTTCATTCCTAAGAGCCCTTACTCTGACACCCTTCATGCCCTTCATAAAAGGGTACCTCTTAGTTTTTCCTCTAAGAGCCAACAGTTTCAGGCACTTGAACCCCAAAGTATTTTAGCAAATACTCTGAAATCCAGGAGTTGATTCTGGACTGTAATTGTTACTAATGAGCAACTCTCCTATATTATCAACATTCAGAACAGAGAAGGAACAAAAGTCCTCATCATGAACAAAATCCAACTTAGCTCAGGACATTTTTCCCTGATCTTTTAAAAAATACAGCCCTATAACTGACCTTGATATTTCCTTTCTTATGGGGGTCAAATCAGATGCTGGTATAAATGTATTTAAATTTTTTTTCCTCCTGCATATGTTCTACATTTTCAGCTCCCAAAGCATACTGCTGAGATCAAGAACAGCCCTGTGCAGGCAGGCAGCTTCCACACAAAACAGAGAAATCAAAGCACATGCACAGCAAGACCCCTGAAATGTATCTTCACATATGTACCTGTTTTTAAGACTACTATAACACAGTGTAACAACAGAAATACAGTAATATATGAAGGAACTGGGAAGCAACAATGTTGAGCAACCTAGAACTTCAACCATCTGACATTGAAAATGCTCATTTGGCTCTTACATGAGGTCCTGGGCACATTTTGGTACACAGATTTTATTATGCAAGTCTAAAAATAGTGCAGAGTGAACTCATTGAAAAAAAAAACAATAACCAAAACCAACTTACTAGGAGTAGTAAGGAATATACAAGTTTCATGAGGCCACCCCAGAGCACTTCTAAAATGAATTTAGCACAAACCTGCTATACTTTTACTAGAAGACCACCTTCCTAAAGCAACTGATTTTCATCAGTTCCTGGAGTGCTTTCACTTAATTCCTTTTTCTTGTCCAGCTGTGCTCTAACTTCATTTTCCTAACATATACAATTTTCCCTGAGCAAAAGATTAAGTGGACAAATCCGGTTCCTATGTCTGGCACCAAGATATTACTGAGCTACATAAGCTATTAAGGGGTTCTAAACTATGGCAAACAAGTCCCCCAAGGCTCACTTAGAAAAAAATATAAAAACACAGGTCTAAGCTTGCCAGAGTGTCTGCCTCTTACAGGCACAGAAACCTGCCTGAGAAGAAAAAAAGCAATCGTTATTATGCATGAGGTACAGACCATCTGCAGTGGGCTCCAAGAGCCAACTGAAAAGAAGGGGGGGTGGGAGGAGTGTTCCCAGCTGCATTCACAGACAGTGAAGAGCCTGAGACTCAGAAGCTGTGAGTGGGAAAGAGATGGTAGATTAGGATGAAGGATGTACAAGATTTGTCATTGTAAAGAATGGAAAAAAATGCTGTTAACATACATACTGTCTTTGGGGTATACAGAGAAGAGCAACAAGAACATAACAAACTTGGTGAAGACAGAAAATTCAGACCATCAAAAAGGTTTCTAGGAGAGCTCTCTCCCTGTCACTGTGGTAGTAGGAGCATACAGAAGGTAAAAAGGGATGATAATATTATTACCCTGGTTGCAATATGGACCACTGAACTCCTCGTGACATGGAAGGTAAGAACAGCAATCGCTGTAAAGTGGCAGCCACAAAGAGTTTGGGGAGGCGTTCTTTTTTACTCTTTCTTTTAAAGAATTAAACACATCTTTCCATATTAGTCTTAAAAAAATCTCTTAGTTCTCATGACACCTCTTTTCACTACTGACACTACACATACCCATATTAGCTATTTACCATTATGCATGCCATACAGCTCAGTAATGTTTCATTTCTGAAAAGGAAAAAATGACCTATTTTTTTATTTTAACCGCTGAAACTTGAGTTACATTTAACTCGCCCACCAAAAAGAAACAAAACCATAAGAACATTTTCTAACTTCTAGCAGTTTGCTGTGCACTTACATGTTTGCAGTTCAGTAAACAGGAGATAGTTACATTAGCTATAAATGAACTGTGACTAGGTAGATATGAGTAAACCTTTCAAAGTGACTGTTGCTGATTCTGCCAGGAAGCAAACATATTTACATCTCTATTCAAGCCAAAATCACCACAAGTACTTGTCCTATTATGTAAAAATTGATGGCTTTTTAAACACTACAAATTAACCCCCAGTTTCACTGATATGCCTGGCTAAAACTCTGCTCACCTCTTTGGGGCCAGGATTTCACATGGAATTTGAGTCTATATAGGGGCTGACTCTGTAAATACTTACCATTACGGAAGGGGCACTGATACTTGAGCTTGGGTGAATCTTGCTGTCACACACAGAAGTCCCTTTTCCCAGCGGTCTGCTCCACCTAGCTGCTGGAGATTACAGCTCTCCATACTGAATCAGCAAACACAGACCTGAAGCACCCTCCAGCAGCTTAGCAGAAAGCGATACATTTTGAAGGGTTTGAGCTGAACCTGTGGGTTTTGCAACAAAGCAGCTAAGGTGTGAGCACGTTCGCTTCTGCAAATTCCGCTGAGGAAG